GAAGAGAGAGTGGGAACGGATTTGAGAGACAGGAAATACAAGTACAAGAGTGTACAAGTAAATGTAAGAACATCTAGAGCAATGCTGAGAGCATCTCTTGCTAATTAAACCCCTCTTAACGAGCAGCAGGGGTTGCACTGCTTTTGCTGTGAGAACTGAATTAGGTCATCATTATCTCAGAAAAATGGAGCAGGGCATTCCAGAGACTGAATTCACGAGCTTACAGAACTTAAACGACCTCAGTTACCAGCAATTTTAAAAATGTGTCCAATTTACAAACACCACTCTCTATGATGACTGTAATCTTTAGCACTTGATGCACTCTTTGCATTTGAGGGATCATTGAGGTAGTATAATAAAAAAGTTTGAGGTCAAAAAAAGGTGGGCTCTTTGACTTGGGCATTTAACAAACCACCTGTGCATCAAAATGATGTTTTAACGTTTTGGATAAGCTTTTGCATCAATCATGGCATCTAAACAGGTATTATTAGATTATCTTCAGCTGTACTACATAAAGGCACCTCTGTAAACTGCTGCCTTTGGTTGCGTCGTGTAACATTAAATCCATCAGATCAGAGCAGAACATACGTTTGCTGCTCAAATACTGTATATATATATATATATATATATATATATATATATATATATATTTATTTCCCACCATTGGTGTGTTCAAAAAATTTTAATAAATAAAATAAAATTCTAAATCCGACTGCATAAATTAGATATACAAAACTTCGTATTTAGTTAGTAATATTTAGACTTTGTTTTTTTTTTTGCTAGTGTATATGAACTCTTTCATGTATGTTTCTTCTCACCGTGATGGTCTTTGTAAAGTGGGTTGGTCTCCTTCTCCGAGCCTCTGAATGATTCCAGAGCAATGGCTGTGTCACTCAGTCTGATTATTCGTCCCATTACGGCTCTGTTCTGAGAGAGTGAGACAGGAAGAGAGAGTGGGAACGGATTTGAGAGACAGGAAATACAAGTACAAGAGTGTACAAGTAAATGTAAGAACATCTAGAGCAATGCTGAGAGCATCTCTTGCTAATTAAACCCCTCTTAACGAGCAGCAGGGGTTGCACTGCTTTTGCTGTGAGAACTGAATTAGGTCATCATTATCTCAGAAAAATGGAGCAGGGTATTCCAGAGACTGAATTCACGAGCTTACAGAACGTTGCGTCTTGTAACATTAAATCCATCAGATCAGAGCAGAACATACGTTTGCTGCTCAAACACATCGAGTGCTTTGATTCCCTCAAACACATGCTCTCCAAATCTGTCCGTCTCTCTTTCTCTGATCGCACGACTCACGCAGTGTCGCCATACGGCACAAATCTGGATGAACGTAGGCATAAAGCCACATCAACTCAGAGAAAGATCCAAAGATCAAAGAAAAGACGTCTCGCCCATTAATGCTTTCATTCCAAAAATATCTGGTGTAAAAATGTCTTCAAGAAATTTAAAGCATTTCAAATATGCCTTTCAGCTCATCAAGTTTTTGTGTCACACATGAATTATACAAGTTTACATTTCACACTTTGAAATGGCCTGTTTTGGTCTGCCAGTTATGATTTTAACAGGAACCCGCTTAAAATGTGGTAAAATCATGGTAAACGGAGATAAAAGTATGACTGAATGGGCCAAAATAGTCAATAAACACATAATGGCTTGGAAAACAAGTCATGAAAACCTGTGACCTTGACCTTATAGATATGAAGCTCATGCTCAGGGGTAAAACTGAACAAACACAAATCAACAACTGCAAAGACACTCAGGCCAATATAGATGAGAAAATAAACCAGTTTAAAGTATTAAAGAGCAAAAATGCACAAACACACATTAAAATCTGTTGAGAGTGCCTCCTTCTGGCAAAAACAAATACAGAGTCTCTTCAAAAAGGAGGGAGCACTCCAAAGAAAGACAGAAAGATAAGGCTGTTGTGAAAAATTAATCTCTACGCCACTCGTTAATATTTCATATACGCTCCTTCTCTGTAGCAGCTGACGAGGCCTAATGCAGTTTTCATGCATCCGTGTCCTTTCTTTTTTCTTTCCTCCTTTCTCTTTTCCTCCCTTCCTCTCATCTACAGCGGACTTTGAGAGCATGCGTGTTCGTGTAAGCAGCCGTGACCCTTTTCCCAAATCTAGCATCAAAAATGTAACCCAAGCAACTGTGTTAGTGACAGTCACTGTTAACTCAACACCATCACACCAATGCAAGTAAACAAAACAACAACAAATGCCACTACAACAGATGAGCCAACATATTGAAGGTTCAAGTCCAGGATGGTGTTTAATAAAACGGACAGGTTAACAAAATTAGTCGAAAAGAAAGTTTTAAATCTACTGCTTGTGTTATTTATAATTCATAATTACACTAGGAATCACTATGTGTAGTTGAATTGGTTAAATTGCTTGAGTTTTTGGCCATTGTAAGAAATACTGCAAATGCATTAATTAATTAATTTAAAAAGATGGATATAAGAAACAATACTTCTGTGAATTAAAAATGAAATCTTTGATTTAGCTACATTCTTAAAATATATTTAAAAAAATGCATATGCAAAGTAAAATGTATAAATAATGTAAATTTCCCAATGGCAAATCATGTTAAGCTCATTTAAATATAAATATAAATATTTATAAAAATATAAATAAATATTACAGGTGCATGGCAAAAAATTTAAAGAAATGTATCTAGAAATTGCTTATGTATCATGCAGTCCATTATTACATTTCGTTTCACTTTGATAAATAAATAAATAAATAAATGGATATATGAATGAATGAATGAATGAATGAATGAATTAATATTTTCACAAATTGAATTAAAGAGCATTTTATATTAATCTTTTAAACAAGGGCTTATTTTAATGATACACAAGTAGATCAAGTTTCTGAATATATATTCATATATATTTTACATAATTTGTTACTCAGTTTAATATAAAATGTTTTTAAGAACAATTGCACAAATTTGTTTCATGAATGAGGCCTAATATATGCGCGCGCATCTATCTATCTATCTATCTATCTATCTATCGACTTTAATATGGCAAAGGTGTTAAAATATGTTTATTCTACATGAATACGTCTTGTTGGTGGCTGGAAGATTAAAGTAGGACATAAAATATTTAGTAAAGAACCCACAGTGAATGTGTAAAATTTTGTGAACAATGAGTCTTTGCTTTCTGCCAATTTGGACACAGATTGTATGCAGTCCTACTAATTGAACAGCTCTACAAGTCACATCGAAATGCTAACTTTAGCCATGATAACTGTTCAGCTCTTCCTTAAACGTCTCTGAAGCTGTCATTCCTCAGACTGATAGACGGGGTCTCCAGGGTCCTGACCCGATAGCGGCTGTGCCTGTAGGTGTGTGTGGTAGTGGACTATGGCTATTTGAGCAGAGATTGATTAAAGTTTCAGATGGACTGTGGCTTTAATCTCGTCAGAGGAGGCTTTCAATGCCCGGCCCTTTCCTGTCGACATTAAAAATACATGACACGACTTTTCATTACAAGTCACATCTGATGGACTTCAGATGAGGTGCTAATGCAGATAATGGAAGATGAACACAACAGCTGTAAAAGTTGACCCCGAGTTTAGTAGTGTAAGCTAAAATCTTGATCCCTCAAACAGTATGCTAGTAATATTACTGTACATTAAAAACATCTCTTCAAGCTCTAAACCTCTAGAAGCAGAAGTACATTTTTGAGGTTTACACTGAAGTGTAACTTTCATTACAAAAAACTCACAAACAATACATTCAGGTATCAAAACCTTTTTCAAATGAGAAAATGTTTTTTACTGAAACTTGACAGTTGACTCATCTTACCCCACTCTCTACCTGCACAAACATAAGTTTTAATATATATATATATATATATACACATATACACACACACACACACACACACACACATACATATATATTTTATATATGCAAAAGTTAAAAAAATTCTTTTTAATCTCTTATGCTCACCAAGATTGCATTTATTTGATCAAAATACAGTAAAAACAGTAATAATGTGAAATATTTAAAATAACTGTTTTCATGTGCAATATATTTCAAATTTATTCATTTGATTGCAAAGCTTGAATTTTCAGCATCCATTACTCTGGTCTTTAGTGTCACATGATCTTTCATTCTAATATGCTGATTTGTTTGAAATATAAATATTTAGTAACATTATAAATGTATTTATAGTCACTTTTGATCAATTTAACGCATCCTTGCTGAATAAAAGTATTATTTCCTTTCAAAAAGAAAAAAAATCCTACTGAAACCAAATGGTAGTGTGTATATATATTAGACAACAAAATCTGTTTGTTACTAGGTTAAGACCTCACTGCCTCAAAACATACTGTACTTACTGATAGGTCTACTAGTTTACATCACATCCAATCCACAAAACTACTTTTAAACCAACATTTACTCCATCACCTCCACCGCAGAAAACCGCTGTGTGCCCCCAGCCTCCCTGAGAGGGGTTTTAGCACTTTGTCTCCAAACGGACAAAGAACAGTGAGATCTTGTCTTTTGAAGCGCTCTTAGCACAGCGGCTGTGGCCTGACTCTCGTTGGCTAATGGAGGCACAAAGAAAAGGGCCTCTCAGGAACCGAGAGACGCTGAAAGAGAGAAGCGCCCAGAAAGACTCGAGACTGACCATTGGCTGGCTGAATGCAAAGTTGAGGGCCTCAGACAAAGAATGTGGGTTCACACGCCAATGAAGATGCTCCTCTGAAGGCCAAACATACATGTACTCAAACAGATACACACACAGGCCCCTGAACCCCAGCCAAGCGGAACCTCATTCACACAACGGAGGGGGGTCGACTCTTTGACTCCAGCTCATGGGGTGGTTATGGTCTGCCAGGGTCGACAAACTTATGGTGACCTCAATGCTGGTCCATGTGACTGACAGTCAAGTTAAAAAAAATCTAAAAAGGCTGTTCTGTGGGATTAGTTCTGGAAGTCAATGGTGGAAAAGTCTAGCATTCATGATGATGCCATAAAAATTTAAAAGTTTGGAATGATAGCAAAAACACAAAACCACAACAGATACCTTTTTTGAAGAGTGGCTGTGCAAGACCTGTCACCAAAATAGTGTTGTGAGTGTTACGAGGGTGTTGCTAGAACAACCCTAAGTCTCTATAATGTCATTGTGCCTCAATATTGTGTGCTCTTTCTTCAATATAAGTCTATGGAATTTTGCAGGTTTGATCATCAAAAATGTTGAATCTTATTGATAGATTGAAAGATTGAGCTCAACTGTCCTTAACAAGCAGCATGATTTAAACTATCATTTGCATCCCTATCATCCCTAGTTTAATACTTAGGGTTAAGATGTTAACATCCCTAAACCTCAGTATGAGAAATAGCCCTGGCAAACACCACAGATAAAAACTGGAGGGGACAAAATGCACTGCAATACAGTAGCTGAAGAAAAATATGTATGCAAATAAATGCAAGAAAGACACCCAATTACAGTTCAGTACACAAATATTACAATGACGTCATCACTGTTGGTTAGATTTTGAATGACAAAACAAATACAACAATAGAATGATAGACCGATAGGTAGAACGATAGCTAGAACGATATAGATAGATAGATAGATAGATAGATGATAGATGATAGATGATAGATAGATAGATAGATAGATAGATAATACATCCTTGCTGAATCAAAGCATTAAGGTAGTGTGACTTAACGGTGACTCCAAACATCATATAAAAAGGATTTATATGAACACACTGAGAAACTGTGATTAATCATACCTGTATGAGGTGGGAGGGTACGGTCACCATAGCGACTGAGAGTGAAGTGCGTAAAAGGCCTCGGAGGGCGTAGAGAAATGTGGTGAGGGCGTGGCAGTGGGCGGGGTTATCCTTACAGCACACATCATCCCCCCAGAGCACTGACCCCAGAGAATGAAGACCCAGCCGCAGGACATTCCGAACCTTAGACTACAGAAGTGCAAAAAAAAGAGAAACACAAAAAATTGAAAAATTTAATTTCAAACACTGCATTCTTTTCGAGACAATCTGGATATGTACAATTTATGTGAACAAATCCACATCTGGCTTGTGTAATGAATATTTCATTAAAGCAATGTAGAGTAACTTTAGTGTTCAAAAATGCATGAATGAATATCTTAACAGTATTTTAATAAGTGCACCTTCATTTAAAAGAGAAACAAGGAAAAACCTGTGGTGTTGCATTAAACTTAATAAAACTTATTTACAGTAACATGTCAATGATGCGTAAATTTTTCACTACAGTTTTTAGAACTCTATAAGTAGCAATTCTGCAGCAAAATAAGAATTTTGTAAACAAGTGAAACATTGTATGACCTATATGTAAATTTACACGAAATAGAAGAGTTTGCAATGTAGCAAAAACAGTTTTTGGTAAAATGCTGTATCAGAATCAAATTAATCTTTATTGTTGTCATTATATTCTGCATTATTTGTCTTTCCGTCTGCTGTGCATTAAAATAAACACGTAACAAATTTGATACTTTGTGATACTTTGCACTGCAAAGACAGCTATGGATTGATTAACGCCTTACCACTACAAGCACGCACAAATCAGGCAACCAACTTGACTTAATTTACACACGCAATTGTATTGCAGACAACATTTTGGTAGAACCCCTACATATCTCTGACCATTTCTTAATTACATTTAAACTACATTTTGCTACCTGTGTGCCACCACCCTCTATACCGGTTACTTTTAGATGAAACCTACGCTCCCTTTCACCCTCCCATCTTTCCTCTGTAGTATCCTCCACTCTCCCCTCACCTACCCATTTCTCACCTCTGGATGTGAATGCAGCAACTGAGACTTTATGCTCTACTTTAACCTCATCTAGACGATATTTGTCCTCTCTCCTCCAGGCCAGCACGGGCTGCCCCTTCTAACCCCTGGTTATCCGATGTTCTTTGTGAGCATCGGACCAAACTCAGGGCAGCAGAGAGAAAATGGCGCAAATCAAAAGATCCGTCAGACCTGAGTATGTATCAGTCTTTGCTTTCATCTTTCTCTGCTGAAGTCCATACTGCCAAAACTTCATATTTCCACAACAAGATCAACAGCGTCCAGACACATGTAATCTCTTCAAAACATTTAATTCTCTCCTCTGTCCCCCTCCATCACCTCCCACCACTTCTATAACAGCTGATAATTTCGCCACATTCTTCACAGACAAATCTAGAAGAATCAGTAGTAAATTCTCAGCCCCACACACACAGGACCTCAAACCACATCCACAGTTAAAACTCCCATCTTCTCCTTCTGTCCCCTCACTGAGGCAGAAGTATCAAAACTCATCTCCAGCCATCCTACAACATGCCCTCTAGACCCAATCCCCTCACACCTTCTCTTTCCCCACAGAGGGCCCAAACACAATTGCTTCAGTTTTACTCGCATTAAGGTGTAGAAAATTTGAGGACATCCAGGATCTTATGTCATTTAGACAGGCAAGCAAGGTTTCTAAGCCTTTCTTGTCAGTGTGCTTAAAAGGCAGATAAATTTGAGTGTCATCTGCATACAAGTGAAAAGATACTCCATGCCTTCTAAAAATAGAACCTAGAGGTAACATATATAATGAAAACAGAGTTGGAGACAAAATGGATCCTTGAGGAACACCACAGGTAAGAGGAGCTATGGATGAGACAGAGCCTCCAATGCCAACTGAAAAGGTCCTGTCAGTAAGAAAAGATTTAAACCAACTGAGGGCACTTCCACGGATGCCCACATAATGTTCAAGACGTGACAATAGAATGGCATGATCAACAGTATCAAATGCTGCACTAAAGTCTAATAGCA